GCACTCCACATTCTGTAAGTAAGGGTTCCCCACCGGAAAGACCTTTTAGCTCAGTGACTCCTGAATATTTCCCACTTGTCATGGTCTCCTCCAGTCTGCCACTTTGCCGGTTAGGTTGCACAGACCAGCTCCAGTCTCCTCGCCTTTCCAAGATTTCATTCCAGCCAAGCCGCTGCTGCTAACAACCATCACTACAGGTTGATATTTTACAGCATCTGGTGGGAGCAGATATGCCCATTCTAGCCCTGTGATATTCATCATGAGAAAAGGTGAGTTAAATAAAAATGAGTAAGCTAATAAAAAGGCTCTCCTGGTTAAAAGCTAAGTGATTACAACTGCTATACCAGATTGGAAATGACAGAAGCATCTTGTAAAAGAGTCACTACATGCACACCTACATCAAGAAAGCAAGCAGAAAGGCTGAGCTGTTTATAAATCTACCATAGAGAAAGGGATCCATGAGGGGATCAGTAACTCTGTTCACAGCGCTCTTAAGCTAATTCTTCCAGTCTCCAAAAAGATGCATCAATTTTAAGGACATACCTATGATCCTCCCAAACCATGAGCATGTTTTCAAGGGGCTTCTGATTAATGAGGTCTCTTCTTAGACTTCCAATACCTGCCTACAGGCTTACATACCTCCATACAGGCTGGCATGCATACAGCTTGCAGATTGAAGGCTTCTGAGAAGCACCAAATGAGCACACCTAACAGTGAAAAACTTCTTCCACACTGCAAGTAGGGAAGAAATGGTAGAAAACAAAAGGGGCTAATACAATACAAACAGAGGAAGGAAGCAGAGAACGACAGAAGTAAATCAGGTGGATTGGACAGGGATGGAAGATGATGGGGCAGAAGGCATAGAGGGAAAATGTCTAGGGGAAGAAAAAGTAAAGATAGTGGCTATCAAGAAAGAAAAGTTAAAAAAGAGAAGAACGGGAACTGAAATGGCCAGGGCAGAGAGCTGAGACACAGTCTGAGCGAGAGGAAAGAACAAGAAGACACAAACTAAAGAAAGGGAAGAGAATACAGCTTGGGATGCAATGGGAAAGGTGATTCAGAGGAAAATGGGATTGAGTTAACACATATACGAGCAAATTCATCTTAATCTTCTGCTCCCACAACTTCATCAGTTTCTGAGTTAAAAAGAAAAAAGTAAAGCAAGTGAGAATACTGATATGGGCCTAACCCCAAAGCACAAACACAAGATGAAAGTACACTGCAGCAAGAAAGAAGACTCAAGAAAAAGGAGTAAACAGCCAAAAGAATGGACATGTCATAGGAAAACCGCTGGTACTTCATGAGAGGCCAGTCAGTGGTCAATAAAGAGACAATGGAGACTTAAAAAAAAAAAAAAGGAAAGAAAAGAAAAGAAAAGCAAGCCCAGAGTACATGACTACTGAAAAAAATAACACAATATTGGCTCCTCCAGAGGAAGGGTAAGGCTTAGGCTAAAGAAGGTCTAAGATATTTTCTCTATGCTTAGAGGAGAAACAGGAACACTTTTTTTGACATAAGACTTTTACCAAAACAAATCAGGCAGGCACATACCAAGTAACCTGCATTTACAACCATGGAACAGACTCGGAAATTTCCTCCCTTTTGTTGACCTCGAGCAGCAATACAACCCCACGCACTGTATATTGTTCTCACTTGTTTACTAAGAAAACAGCGATTCATAGTTCTCATATGACAAACGTAAAGTGGCCCAGCAAGGCTTACGAGAAAAGATTTTCAAAAGTAATTAATGACTTTGCAGGCTCACTTGGGGTGACTGATTTTCAGAGTACGCTCTGAAAGGCTGGGCTGCTTAAAGCTCTTTTCATGAAGGTATCAAAAAAGGTGCAACTGTAAATTCAAGAGTTTTGAAAGTACTGTCCCTGGACTATGTATTTATAGCTTGCTTATTTAAAATTAGATCCTCCTATTTTAAACTATTTTCTTCTGAATCCCTCTCAACTCATCCCAGAAATGAGCCTAGTCTAATTCCCAATACTAAATGTTGATTCTCATTATCATAACTCTCATTTGGATAACTCATACACGTTACCACCCACTGACAAAAACAACACTGCATTGAGTCAAAGTTCTTAATGACCAGAAAACACTGAAAAGAAATGTCTGTATGATTTTCTAACAATCAAATAAACAATCACTTGTAATAAACTGGCATAACTACATCAAATGGAAATGTCTCATCTCTATGAAGATCAAGTATGTTAAAGAAAAACAGAAATCAATCTATTTTATCTTATATCTATGTATGTTGATGCATACATACATCCTCATTCAGAACACACACGTATGGATAGGTATATAACATATGTATAACATTTATATGCTATATACAGCTTTATATGATATATATTATTATATATCAACTTCGTATAATATGTGAAATATGAATACTATACCAGCCTCCATTAAAGACACCCCTCTTTCACAATGCATGTTCCCCACTGAAATGCGTTACGAAAATGCTGAGCTTGGTAAGTCAAGCACTCAAAAGTTAGAAAATGTCCAAATTACACTAGCTGTACAACCTTGCATTGGTTCTTATTTCATATAGTCTTTAATTGCATAACCCATACTTATTTTTCCTGCAGGATACTTGTCTTTTTCAGTGGCCATGACTGACAGTGTTCAGTGAATGAACAACTGTTCAATATCTCACTTTACCCTCATCACTTACTGTCTGCTCTGCATCTTGTTTAAAATACACTATTCAAAAACTCTCCTCTGAACACTGCATTATAAATTTCTTCCAGAGCATTTCTGTGGCACTCTTCACCATCGTATCTAAGAGTTTCCAAATGACACCTCCACAACACCCTTCTGAGCTGAGGAGTTTTTGTTATTCCTATGTTACAGTCAAGACAAGAGTGCTCATTACCTGTTTGCTCAAAGCACCCAGGATTTCAGAGGGGCCAGAACCATTTGTTCACAGCATGGTTCTCCTTGGCTTGGCTACAGCTGGGTGCATTCAAAACTTCCAGAAATCAGTCCCCAAGAATCATGTGTTGGAAATCAGAAATCACGGAATCTGCTACCTTGAGTGTGTTGGGTTGAAGGTACCTTCCCAACCTTGTAAAGAGCGCTTCTGATGGAGGCAGCAAGAAACTCTGGCTCTGCAGAGCGGCCCTAAAAGACTGCGAGACCCTTTCCTGCAGGCCTCTCATTCATTTTGCAGCTTCTGTAACAAATGAAAAAAGGTCCCATGGGTAATCTGGCTACCTGAACTACGCAATCCTGACTCTCACCTTGAAAACTCTGTCCCTATCTCCAGCTGGTTTTCATGGCCTAGACACAGTCTTCATTTCTGTCTAGCTTCACATTGCCATCTACCCGGGGCATCTCTACTCTGCATGTCAGTGGGGTAGCTCCTTTTCCTCCTGTTTGGATTTCATCAGCAGGAGTTTGAGTCTAAAAGAGAAAGTTTTGCTTTCCAATACTATGATCTGCATCAGAATGGGCCCTGATCCTTAGGGGAGCAACAGTAAAAGATGCTCTTGCTGTGCTGTGTCCATACAGACAATTTTTACTGACACTTACCAACTTTTCTGAACTTCAAGGCTCTCTGACAAGATTTGTGCTATTAACACAACTTTGACTGTTTTGAACAAATTTTTCAAGGGGATGGAACCTTCTTCCCATAAGACTTTTTTAACATGGACAAAACAATGCTTTATCCAACCTACTACAGAAAAACACTTCAAGTGGGGTTTTCTGAAGTTAAAAAAAATTTTAAAAATATTACCCTGAGGCAGAGACCTGACAGGGAAAATTTCAGCTCAAACAATGAAATACTAGCAAAGTTGTAAACCCTTTGAAAAAAGGAGCTTGTAATAAAAAAATTTAGGCAACTTTAATTACAGTTGCTCCTGCCTGAGTAGTTGCCTATAGTATCCCTCCTCTAATGTTGTTTGCTTTATGAAAAAGGTAATTGAAAAAAAATCCAAAGTGAAATTTATACTAAAATATACTTATCTAGGAAAAACTTAAATAGAAAGTAATAAAAAAATTGCTTACATATCATTATGCTATCATTACACAAATAAGACTTGTCTGCATGTATAAGTGTACTTTGAATTAAAAAAAGTAGTGTCAGTCTAGGGAGAGGAATTGTTGGGGGGGGGGGGAAGTACAGCATGGATCCAAGACAGTTAAGAGAATGAAATGAGACATGTAAATCACTGTCTTAATTTTTTGATTGTACAATCCCATTTATGTAAAAAGTAGAATCTGCCCCTCAGGACTAAGCTCTGAAAGATGTGAATCAGTAAAAATTCAAGCCTTTCTCTGTATCATTATTTTTCAGTCACATTTACATTCTCAGTTGCCAGTACAGTCTCTAATGTGCAATAGTTAGAATCACAAAACCCACATTGCGAAGGTTTGCATAAAAATTAATTAGCTTTCATCTCCAGAGAGTATGCATCCTTCCAGGTCACCACCGAGGCCACTGGAGGTGCAACCATAGCTGCTTCAACACTGGAGCTCATTCCCCAGCTCCACTTTCCCATCTCACCAGCATAATCAACTTTGGTGACAAAAAGGAATTGTTCCATCAACTCTTTTACAAGACTGTCACAAGCAGCCTCATTCACTGCAGCAACACTTATGAAGCAGCAAGTAGTTGACATCACAGGCTCAGGGAATTTACATAAATGAAAAAAAAGAAGTAATCAAAAATAGCATAAATTACTCCACTATCATTTAACAAGTAACTTTTGTTTTTCATCCCATTAGAAACTGCAGTGTCAATCAAAGACGGTGCTCCCAGACCTCTGCTTCCAGTGAAGTCTAAGGCATCTTTCTGTTGGCCATAACAGCAGGAGAAACAGGCTTTGAAAGTGAACTAATGGTACATGACACATCAGAGCACCAGGAGATTCAGTGTGGAAAAGAAATATTCTGCAAGGACATGTCCCCCACAAAAGCATATGCACATACAATAAATTTTAACTATGTAAACTGCCATACTGGCCAATATTTCTTACATCATTCATCTGCTTATTGCGGGCTGGGATGATAGTATTGGTTAGTTGCTTATTCCCTGCCTTTAAAGCTGCATCTCTTCTTGCTTGCTCAAGCAGAACTCTTGCTCGTTCTTTAAGTTCTTCCTGTCTTGACAACATACGTTGCTTAAAAATAAAGAAATATAATTAACAGCAAGGCAGCCTCGGGTTACTTAACGTTTATACAGTAGTTAATAGCCAGGAGCCTTCCTATATAATAAAGGTCAGGAGTCACATGGATTACAGATTCATGAGGTGACAGAGCGTTCTATAGAAATGAAAAGTAAAGATGATCAAAATGTAAAATGAAAAAAAAAGGCATAGGCCTTTATAATGTAAATAAGAGTTCTGTCCCCTCCCCTTAAAACTTAATTTCTATCAACATTTAATGCCTTTAAACTGCAACTGTGGAAAAAAAATAATTGGCTTCATGGAAGCTATGTTAAATGTGCTATGTGTTTACTTATTTACTTTAATATGTATGCAAATATAATGCTTCGTTGGCTACTTATACGGGTATCACTCATTTATAACTTAAATTGAACACAAAGAGGCTGGGTACAAGGCAAAAAACCTGTGAAAACATCTGCTTCTACTTGTAATACTATGAATATCCACAAGAAACTCCCTTCTTCATACACATGACCAATTACATTGCAGAGTAGAAAGAACAGGAGGGGGGTTTCTGCATATGCAACATGAGCAGCTCCCATACATATATACTCCCAAGTACTGACTTCTTAGTCAAGGTCAACTGTGAAGACTCTGGGAAAATGCGTCTCTAGGCCTTTACATGAGGTAGAGCTGGATGTCACAGGTTGTGCTCCTGCAATAATCATGTGGAAATTGAGGTGGTTAACTCTAACCATCAACTGAGTGTTCAAGGTTAAGATTGAGGCTCACACCCGAGATTTTATTACCACGTGCAAATGGACAGACAACATTAACAACAGAGAACCATCTTTAAAGCCATCTCTTCCTTTTTCTTGGCCTATTTACACCTTGCACATGAAAATCTTCGTAGGGAAGACATCTTGTATCATCCTGCTCTTGATGAAGAGAAACTTCATGAGACTTCATTAACTAAAGAAAGTACCTGCCTGTGGAACTAATACTTGGCCACTATCAACCATCAGCGGACTGCTGCTCTTGCAATAAAATTAATCTTTATGGTGCTTAGTTGGGAAAAAGTATAAAAATATTTGAAGCAATCCACACTACCAAAAGATTGGCTATATTCTTTTCTTATCAGAGCTAATGGCACAAAGCTGAACAAAACCAAAACTCCAGAAAGCTCTTCACAGGGGTAAAATTATAAGCATGCTTTGGCTTTTTTGTAAACAGGGCTGATAACATTTTTTACATATTTTTGCAATGATACTATTTACTGATAATACCCAGCATTTAGATAATATTCAACTTTCATTCTCACAATAAATCTGCAAGGTAGGTGGGCATATCCTTTTTATCTTTATAGAAAGGAAAATGATATTGCAGTTAAGTAATGTGCTCAAGGCCACTCAATGAACAGCATAACAGTCTGGAGTTTCTGCCTCACCGTGGTGGGCTATGTCCACAAGGCCATGTGGTTTCTCAGATAAGATTTAGAAATATACATTTAGTATATTTTAAGGTATTCAAAACTTTACATTTTTTTAATATGGAACAATGAATCAATAAGTCTTTTTCCAATTTTTGCTTCAGCTTGCAATGTTCAGAAGAAACGTAGCAAAAGCCTTGAAACCATCTTCTTTGAGCTGGTTGGGAATACAGTGTTACCTCCTTTACCTGTAGGGAGGTTGGAAAGATTAACCGTAGGACAATTCCTATAAATGAATTTTTCATGTTATGGCTCTTTTTCAGCATCACCTACATTCAGTCAAAGTATTTATTGCCCAACAATAAAAATACACCACCTTGCCATTTATACTGAAGATATGGCGTAAATTACAAACATGGAGAAAAAACTTGAAAAGCACCTCCATCCCAACTCACAGGCATAGAGCAAGACTAAATTTCTTACCTGGGCTGTTTTTGCAGTTTGATCTGCATGATTTAAAGCCATTCTGGCATCATGGTCAGAATCGGATTCTGTTTGCCTTGGAGAAGCATGCGGTTTCTTTGCAAGATCTGTATCCTTATTACAGGAGTATCCAATCTGAGAAGTAGGAGATAAACTTGGCTTTGTGACAGGTGAACCAGGATCTGCTCTTGTGCTCTCTGTGGATCCTATACGTCCCAGTTTTTCTTGCTCTGAGAAACCAATGGTATTGTCTGAGCTCTGGTGTCTCTTCTTGTCCTTATCTTCACAAGCAACTGTGGGAGACACGTCCTCTTTTTGATCGCTGACATGTGCCAAGTCACTCAAGTCTAAAGTGTCAGCTATCAGCAATTTCTTCCTTCCCAACGTAGGCTGTGCTTGTGTTGTATCTGTACTGCTACACTTCCCAGCGTCTTCAGATGCAGAAGTCCTTCCAGAGCTTTGCTGGGATTTCTGTGGATCTGTGTCACTTCGAGTCCTGCGAGAAGAAGGGGAAGCTGTGCTTGGGCTTAAATGGTCATCGGGAGTCTGATGCTCGCTCTCAGATTCGCCAACACCACTGTCATTTACAAATACAGAGTCGTCCTGAGAAGCAAAGTCTGCCAAACCACTGTCTGGCGGATGCAGCTCGGGCTCCCGGTTCAGGTCATTCAGCTCTGCATAGAATTTTTCCTGGTCGACAGAACTGTTTGTGTCCGTTTCATAGTTACCCACTTTATACGTGCTTTTGCTACTGTTCTCCTCTATTTGAACCACGTTTAATTCCTGGCCACAGAAATGAGCCCTTATTTGATAGAGATAGGTCATAACAGTCAGTTTGTCAGGTATCGCTAATAAAACCATGTCAGAAGGTTCCAGCAATCGTGATATTCCTAAACTGGCAAACCCATCGTATGCCTTTAAAAATAGACAAAATAAAGATTACAATGCGGCAGTTTCTGACATATCATAGCATTTGAAGAATGCAAGTTGGAAGTTTCAGTCAAAATAAGCAAGCCTAAAACATATCCAGTATTACAAGAACAGTATGGGTTCAACTCTATTACTTATTATTCTTTTGGCTTCATTACAGTAGTTACTATTTTCTGTTGCATATTCCAACATCCAACTCATCGATTTTTCACGATTGCTTCTAGACATCTCCCATGGTATCTTCATAGCAATGCAAACTGAGAGAATATAACCAGTAACGACATTCAAATGGCATTGTTTTAAATATTTTTAACATACCTCAATACAATAGTATACCAGAAATCTTTGATTACTCAAAATGATGCCACTTTCATGAGTAAAAAGCTGTTCATGAAACTGCAACTTAAAAGCCCTTCTGTTTGCACTAAGAAAACCTACCAGTATCTTAAATGGTTCTCACTCAGGCAGCAGGAAACAAGTAAATAAAAAAAAGTGTAAGAGCTGGACCAGAAAAAAAGCAACTAAGGATGGCTTTTTAAGATAAGGAACAAAGATATAAGAAACACGACACTAATCCATCTCGGGCTTTATCACTGGTGATCAACCTTCTCCCTTCTGCTGGTCATGTAATTGCAGTGATTTGTGTTGATGAAAAAGTATGTCCAGATAGCCAAAAAGAACACCACCACAGATTACTTGATACAAAACATAAAACATATTAATCCAGCAAACAAATGCATTTTAAAAAGCATTTGTTGATGCTAAATTTGTAAGAATAAGAGAGTGAATTTCATTCTCACTTCTCTTTAATTCCTAAAAGCTAAATAGTTTGCAAGTCTCCCACTTTGTGAGGCCACATTGTCTTCTTTTTGCTAGCCCTTTAAGTGAGTGGGCTTGGTGCATCAGGTTTTTCTAGTTTTGAAGAATTAAAGCTGTTTCTCAATTTACAATTAATTATTACTATCCCGGATTAACCCTGGAAGACAATATTGTGTTTCAAGGAAGCCTTTAAAAAGGCCTCCTGTTAGCGTAGATGCACTCAGTTAAAGCACTCGGACTTCTCCTCCCCCAGTAATTCTGCAGCTCCTTTTCACCCTCTTCTGAAGGGATCTAAAATGTTCACAGTTGTTCCTACACTATTTTGAACAAAAACGGATGCTAAATTTAAGACATGGATGAGAACCTGCCCTTTCGCAAGGAAACAATAACACACATCGCTGGCTTCAACTCTACCCCAGTTTTACACTATTTCCTTAATTTATTTAGTTTTAAAAGGGTGGAAGAAAGAAGAGAGAAATCAATTATGATGTTTTTAACCTCTTGGTTTTCATACTAGTAAATGTTCAACAGTGAGTTAGAACGTGGGTCTGGCCTGGCCGGCTCCCAGCAGACCTGGTTATTTCCCTCGCTCTGAGAAAAGCAGGCACGCTCATTCCCATCGCAATGTCATTCCCTACTCGAGAGTCAAACAGTTTTCATTTCAGCCACTTTTCGAACTCTGCTTCTGAGAGCTGGAATTTTGTATGCTTCCCCTCATGGTCAGGTATAACTTGCCAAAGCATTTTTCATGAAGTAAGTTTTGTATCACTATAACAAATGATTCAGAGAGTTTATGTAGACATAGAAATGATCTGAATAATTTAGTTTTAAGTCCTTCCAGCTCTCCCTGTGCAAAATGATTTGGCCTAAAATCATTGCTGGTCTTTCGTGGGGTATCATTTCTTGAGAAGGTTCATTATGAGATTGCTATGCCATTTATAAGCAGAGCTGTGCTTAGATATAGGAGTAGCAGTACAAAACATGACTGCTGTATTTGCTGATACAAAGCTCCAGATGGAGCAGAACAGCAGGAAAATGATGTGTGGGAAGGAATGGAAAAAAGTGAAGTGGTAGAAGAGGGACAGCTGTCGTTTACCTGGTCTTTGGGACACAGAGATGGAGGAGCAGGATCAGGCTGGCTACAGAAGAGAGGGTGACAAGAGAAGTGGAACCAAACAGACACGAGGAGCACAGAGAAAGGAGAGTTAAACGAGAGCACTGTAGGGATTTGGGTGGGCAGCCTAAGCCATGGCAGCACCTTCATCACCAGGAATGATGAATGCTCATATGCCAGCAGAAAACAGGCTGGGTATTGAAAGTGTAGCGAGCCAGCTGTGTTGTCCTGTGGGCCAAAGGTAACGCCAGGATTTGCTGTTTGATTAAGTGGGTCAGTGTTGATTCAGTGGCATAAATAACCTGTTACCCCACACCGAAGGTAGTGGGAGTTACCATCTGAAGAATGAAAGGACCTAAGGATGGGCTTAGCAGTCCATGGCAGCCAAAGCGTATAGACATGACTTGACCTGAACTCTTTTATACTCTTAATTTCTTATTTATATGCTAATAAAACTAAATCCTAAGAATATCTCCCAGGGTCTGTAAAATGAAAGTGGGGACAGTGTTTCAGACTTGTTAGGAAAGGCACTTGCTTAGAATGCGTAACACTACAGCAGAAGGATTGAATTCGGAACGATGGATATCCTCGATACAGCTGCAATCACTTTTTACTGCCTGCTCAGTTCTTCTGGTGGTGCTTGGGATTAAACACAATAGTTTCCCACTGATGCCAGATACTTATTTCCTACCCCCTTCTCCTCATTCAAGATGATACGCATTCTTGCTTCTCTGTTTTTAAAGTACACTAGATACCTAGATTGGCACGCAAATGGTTTACAGCCATTAGATCTATAAATAGTAATTGTATGTTCTGTATGTGTCCACAGAGCAATGTGTGATGGGTTCTCCTTCACTGTTAGAAAAGCTGTGAGCTTCTTGATATTCCAGTATATTTATAAATGCCTAATGTTTCTAACTAGTTTGTAACATGGTATTAACAGACTACATTTTCCAAGTCAAATTACATTTTGTTAAACACAGGCATAACTAAGCTTGATTTTGCAAATGTTTACATGCATGTTTAACTATGCTCCTGCATGATCCTACTGAGGTCAACTAGCAACTCCCACGCACACAATTAACTACATGCTTATGATTTTGCGGAATCAAATAGTAGATGCAAGCATGAATGCCTGTTATAAAAATATGGCTGCCAGCTTAAAGTTAAGGATTTTTTTCCATTTTGAATCAATGCTCTCCCTGTAATTCTGAATTCTTCTGTTTAAATGTATATTCTAAAAGGATTCCTTCCTTGAAATGGAATATTTTGTCAAGACAATTGAGTTCAAATGTACTGAGGAATTTAGTAGAAATTATAAAAAAAAAATGGAAAAAAGCAAAAAAAAAAGGCATCATAAAAATTGAAAGTGCCAATCAAACATCCAGAAGATATATTACTATTTCCACACAACAACCCCTCACATGAAACAAGCTTCTCTGAACAATAAAGTAATTAAAACCAGAAGTTCATTAGAACCATACTGTTGTGCTCTTCCACTTCTCATTCTTTCATCCCCTCCAAGCTCCAGCCAAGTGTAGTTTAGTAGCTTACATTTGTAAAGTGCAGGACATGTTATTAGCAATATGAAAAATTTCTATTCTTGATAAGGGACTATGCTGCCAGTATGCTGTAACTTTAATACATTTTTCATTACTATTTATTAATAATCAAATGGACATAGTAAATAAAATTAATTGGTTAATATTATTGGGAAGGCTATATGGATAGTTAGATATATATGATATTTAAGTAGAACAACCACTCTTTGGATCAGCTGGGAAGGTATCCCTGTAATGTTTTTAATTTTCTCAAAGGTAATCTTGGTTTCTCTTTTGTTCCTCACAGAAATTTGAATTTGCAATGAGCACAATACACAAAAAATATATCTGAATTCTGACTGACGCTAATGTAATCTGGAGTAGTTGTTTGGGGGGTTGAGGTTTTTTTTAAAGATATAATTATATTGTGGAAATTACAATACCTACACATGCACACACACACAAGTATGTATAATCAGGACACTAAACCTATTTACCTATCTCCTGATGAAGCAGGTTTTTTTTTTCTTTTCTAATTTACTGACAAGCTGATTGACAGACATCAATTGGGATCCATCAGCACAAGCACCACAGGCAGTATTCCAACCATTTCCCAACTATGTTACACACTGACGTATTGGCCAAGATCAGGTGTCACAGGTAAATACCCTCTTTTTATTCAGCATCAGTGGCAGCACCAATTTGGCAAATGACTAGTCTGTGTTATAAAGCAGGTCCGATGATGTGCCTTTTGTAACAGTGCATTTCAATGCACAATTATACACAGTAATTGCACTGAAATAGTTGTCTCTTAAGATTTCTTCTTTTTTTTATTAAAATACAAACAAGGTCATGCACTTCTAAAAGATATACTCTTATGGGTTAACCTTTAATCTAGGGTCACAGTCCCTTCTTTACCTCCTTTCCTGGGGTGGGGTCGGGGGGGGAGAAGAGCTGCTTCAGACAAAGAAAATTGTCCTATTCACCCATAGATGTTATTTTAATTGGTTAGGAGGAATCATTGTCAAATGTGTTACATATCTGCATGGAATTTATAGGCAGCCATTGTTGCCGGTGCTGCATTCACTCCAACCAAGGGCACACGGGGTTATCAGGCAGAACTGTGTGAGACCAGGAAATAAATCTGCAGGAAGCAACTGAGATACTCAATGTAGCTGTCAGGCAAAGGCTTGCAAAGTGATGAAAGAAAAAAACTGCACAATAACAACAATCATTATTTCTTCAATCCTGGGAACTATATCCTGTTAGAGAGATGGGCCAAAAAGTTCACCGTTTCATAAAGAAAAGATGACTGATCGTACCGCTAACGTTTTTAATTAATAATCTAGTCTTTCTTTTTTATAATCCGGCTTAATTAGCCCGGACGTTCAATGAAACTTGAAGTACAAAAACATATGGTCACAGAAAACACTGTGATGTCATGGATAATCCACTTAGGTCATCATAAGACCCCGTATTATGAAAAAGATATCATTGGCCAAATCACTCATTAGATAACAGCAGCTCAGAGATATTTTATTATTTATAATACTTAGGTACTATTTTAAAGACAAGAGACACCCTGGCTAACACCTATGTGTGTAGGCACATTAAAATATAATTACCCTAAACACAAATGAATTTTAATAAAGCACTTTCAGAAATTCCATATATCTACAATCTAATATTCCTCAGTTATATTTGCTATATAATATTGAACCTAATTAATTTATTTAAAGTATACTTTTATACCTTCCTCCCAATTCAATTTAGTGTTTTTAAAGCTGTATAAAAATAAAATCACGGCAGCTACTTAGAAACAATTTTCAGACAATCTCCATGAACAATTTTATTATCAGTGACTCATGTGAAAATTATCATTTCTAAACATGTCCTTGGGGCCCAACTGAAGCTTGTAACATGCCTAAAATAGTGAGCAGAAATAAAAAGTCTTCTGGTGATTCCCAAATTGAGTTCCTGCTCCTTCCAGGGAAGCTTCTTACATCTTTGCATCACAACGGTACAAAGAGTGGTTTAAAACAGCTGCCCAGCACAATGCTACAAACTATTTTGCTAATATTTTGATTTATTTGGAAAGTGTGGTCTCAACAGTTTTTATCCTGAACTTTGTGTTGCAGAAAAAGTCAGGTTCTACACCTACAACTTCACTCAGCTGCACAGTATAAAAGTGTAAAATTTCATCTTTAAAAATACAAAAATCACCATCAAAGCAACATTGACCATCACCAATGCACAGAGCCCCCTTAAAGCAACAGAAAGAGAAGTCTTGTTTACGAGAAACCAACAGCAGTGATGTTTTTAATTCTTTTTTAATTATGTGGCTGATTAGAAAAATCAGAATAGTGATCACAGAAGGCTAGACAGTCCTTTCCTCTGCTTTCATAGTTAATGTAGGCCATACAAATATTAAACTCTAATGCTAGCCTTGCACTTGTTGTGAATGTTAAAGACCACGACAAACAGGAGTCAATAATGCATCCGATTTGAACCGCGGGAGGTTGAATACCTTCTGTGAGCTGCAGTTATGACCTGACAAAACAACCGCGCTTTCCCAAAATTAATAAAAACCTGCAGTGAAGCCAAAATTGAAACTATGTCTTTTTTTTTTTCCTGGCAGTTCTTACCTTTTTGTTGTTCTCTTTAATATCTTGAGGATTCAGGGACTTGTAGTCACTGAGGGGGAAAATGGCACAGTGGGTATGTACAGTATTTGATAAAAGCATCAGTTTTAAAACAAACTGAATCTAAAAATTTGACATACAATAATATCATACAGTAACTAGCAATTTCACAGCAATTCAATCAACAAAACTAATAGTGTGGAAAATTAAAGGAATAAATAAATAAATAAACAAACAAACACCGATTACATGTTTCATTGCCTGAAGCTTTCCATCTAAAAAAGAAGTTAAGGCATGGAGTAGAGGCTGGCCTTGACAACCAAATTTACCAGGAGGTAATCCGTCCTTGTCAGCGTACAAAGAGCTACAGGCTTATTCCTCTCATCTCATTTCAACACCAGCACAATTTTCATAATCATCTTGAAGTCAGTTCTTTGTATAAGATTAAGAAGAAGAAAAACAAATCACAGAGAGGGGAGAAACAATTGTTTATGCAACAAGGGAGAGCAAAGAGGTCATAAAGTTTGAACATTCATAAATTAGTTCGCTTAGAAAGGATGGTTCCCTGCTTAAAAGAAAAGGGTGAAAACTGTTCAACACCTGAAACAAACAAGGATTTGATTTTTACATAAACTTAAATGTTGCATATTTCTAGAAGAGTTAGCTTACATAGACAGAGAGTATACAACTTACATGAGGTCTGGTCTAAAGTGATGTAATATTGCACAAAAGGATAAACCGTTTCTCCACGATGTAGTAAAATTGGTGATTTTCACTCCCCTATAGTTTTTTGTAACTTCCTTGCACCACACAAGCAGTGACTGACTAGCGTTTGGCTTTCTCCCCAAAACAGGACTTGGTATTGGGCTTGGCTGGAAAAAAAAAAAAAAAAAAAAAAAGAGAGAGAGAGAAGAAAAGAAAAAAGAGAAGAAGATAAAAGAATTTAATGGAAGATGAGAATTAACATTAATTGACCTAACTAGATGATCTGTATCCTTTGATGTGAGTTTAGGTCCTTCACAGCTGTCAGTTTACAATGACTGTAACTTGCAAAAGACACAAATCGCAAGTTATTATCTCCAGTCGTCGCCCTTGGCACTTGTCTCCAAAGGATGCAGATATACGGGATTCCAGATCTACATAGGAGAACAGGCCAAGAATTGTACCAGTGGAAACACTGTGCTTAAATACTTAAGGCATAGTCCTGCACAACCCGTGATACAGACCCTTGAAAAGATTTCCCAAAATGCAGCCATGGAAAAACATCCCCACAAGCCCTTTCGCTTTTAATGAAGACAACACTGCAACTGGATCAAAAGCCGGGCATAGCGGGGGCAGAGCGTACCACGAGTTGCGATCTACCATTGCGGCGTGGGGATCAAAGTCGCTGTGTCTGCGACATGTGATTAATGCATTCATCTCGCACAGGCTCTAGCATAAAGTTTTTGGCTGCGCTCTTCCTGTTTGAGCACGCACTTGCATAAAGGTAATTGCGGCACGGTGTTTATTATCAGCCACTTCCAACCGTACCCAAAGAGTTTCCTCTGTCATGCTTTACTTTTTTTACGTGGAAAAGGAATTTTAGCTGTAAATCATTATCAGAGGGTGGTTTCTAACAAATATCATTAGCTAATAATGACGCTTTCCCAAAAGGGTATTTTAACACTTTTAGTAACATTTTTATTAGCACGAACCAAGAATTAAAATGGAATAAAATATTTGAGGCATTTGGCATTTGTCAGACTGTCTGCTGTTTCTCAAATTCAGTGGAGAAGTTTACTGATTGCAGCTTATGTTTCTCATTTCATGAGAAAAATATTGTCACTTCAAAAACTTCTTAGATGTAATTAAACAGACAGAATTTGAC